GTGGGATGGGGGCAGGAGGGTGAGGGATTCAAGGCAGGGGTATTGGGGTTAAACTTGGTACGATCTCATTGGCAGGTGTAGAAATTCACCATTCAATTTTAGGATTTTATCAATGTAACTAAACTGTGACAAATCAGCCACATTTGAAGGCTACGACCAAAGATTGAGGGTGTCTACCTGAAGTTGAGGTTTCTCATAGTGAGTAAGTACTGACACGAGCGTAATGCGGTTGAAGAGGGAGGTTCAACAGTGAGTCTTCAAGTACCTCTTACCTCTTTGTTTGAGCTCACACAATTTTCCGGAGACAGCTGACGCCCATCCACTGTTGGAAGTTTTATGTCGGGAACAATTGTCAGAGATGTAGGGTTCATACATGCAAATCTAAAAAAAATGTAATTTATCGTCTCAATTACAGCCAGTTTGATAAATCGTTCTCATTGTTGTGTTGGTGTCTAAGAATGTTTGAAAATACGTTTGAAAACATTTCGTGTTCGTTTCATCAGAGTTAGTAGAAGGACTGACAGCTCTGAAGCTCTGATCCATTTCTCTCGTTTTGGTTATTTCGTGAAGCCAGGCTTCCCGCCATTTTCTGGACTCTTCGTCCTTTGTGGAAGGGAACTTCCATATGCAGATTACTCTCGATAGTCTGGATGAACCGCATCCAAACACCGCACAGTTATCCCCTGGCATCACATGAAGTAAGCTGTCCTCAAAAACACAACTTTTATGCCATAAGAACTATAGAAATTTGGAAAGTATTATGCAAGGCTTTGAATTTGTCAGTGAACGCTCTGCAGATGTTTCAATTCTGTGCACGTTCATCAGAGCGTGACTCGAATAAACTCTAACAAAGACATGCCCCTTTGAAGTTCGCTGGGTCTCCTAACCAGTCCCCCTACTAACTCTGGCCACATAGATCACACGAAGAGGTCCAAAGCGAAATTTCAAGCAATGTTGATCGAGAAGAGGCTTTCCCGGTAATTTTCCGCTTCATAACGAATATTCAAGCAAAAAGCGCCCTTTGCTCTTGCAAACATTTCACTTTGAAAGGCCTCGAGCTTTTACTCGAACTTTCGACGACAGATCTCTAGAACAAAAAAACGAAATTTTGGCACTACATTTGAAATACTTTTGCAGAATACTGTACTTCCACAAACACACAGATCAGTTACTTTTTTACATCTCACATCTCACCTGATTTCTACAGAGGAGCTTGCTGGATATGGATTCTTTGCAGATGGTTTGTTTCCAATCTTCACTGTAAGAACCTAAAACAAGAGGTCACTTTAATGAAACCCAACTCCAATCAACAGGAAATTTTAATCAAAATGTGAAGTGTTACCAGATACTTTAGCTCACTTTGCTTTGCTATTTTTCTTTCTCTACTTCCCTTCCTCTCACACCTCGGGTAAGTATTCATTCTACACTACATGTAGTTTGTGTGTGTTGTGTTGAGAACTGTCTAGGATGGGCTGTGGCATATTTGCCATGGTATTCATCTTTCTGCAGACAAGGGGAAGCCTGCATTCTTGGCAACTACCTCAGTTGCAACAGCCCTTCAATACCATTAACTACATGTTTTCACGGAATGTTATGGTACTAAACAAAATTTTGACCAGTTTTGTTACAGCAATACCCAAAGAAATGTTCTCACCTGTTCACCTTGCTTCAGACATATTACATTAAAATAATGATATGACCCACTGTTATCAACTGAAACGAAATAGACACTCCGTGAATGCAACACATAACTTCCAACTACATGCAATAAAAAATTAATTAAAACTTAAATTCACATGGACAAAAATTATTTTAACCCTCCCACCCTCAGGAGTTACTAGCATCCAATTTCTCCTTACAATACCACCCCTGAGTAATAACCAGAAAAAGATTCCCCTCTATCCCAAGGGATTTAATTAGTAGCTGGCAACTGATGAATTCCAGCTGCTACACTGCACAATGGAGCCTGCCATTATAGCCATTTCACCACTCGGTTTTTGCATGTTTTTGGAAAACATTCAGTATAATCTTAAGGCAGTCATCAATAAACGTGATTTTTTTTGTTCATATTTTGTCTCCTTTTTGGCTGTTGGGGGATTTTTGTAACAAGTTCTAACAATTCAAACAACAAGTCGGTTTGCTTTGTGCCATGTTGAATAGACAGAAGAGAAAGACTGGTGGCAGATCTGCCTCAATTACCACTGAACTGTCTTCCACCTACGTATGCCCTAAAGTATACCTACTTCTCAAAATAATGAAATCCCTGTGAGTCACAACCAGAAAAAAGATTCCCCCTTATCCCAAGGGGTCATTTGATAAATATCATTAACAGTATTTTCACTAACCTAAATAATCCGATGTATGATAATACCCAATAGAAACATGATCCTCTAGCTCTGGAATCACTGTCAAACAACAGGAAGATGGGAAGGTTAGTTAAATGTAACTAGCAAGCAAAACTCAGGGTTCCTACCCTTTTTCAGTAACAAATTTCAAGGACTTTTTTCAAGTTTACCTTTTTCATAATATCCAGAAGTATCCACAATCCAGGGAAGAGGTCCGCCTTCTAACAAGAGGTTCTTTGCTGAACACAAAGACACCACACCAACATCCACTGGATCAAGAACCTATGTGTAAATAAAGAATTCCTACTACATGAAACTGATTTTCAACCAAATCTCTAATTACTTTGCCAATATAATAAGATGCAGGTTGCAAACAAGCTGTTGTGGGTACAGTGCATAACCAACAAGGCTTGCAATTAATCTGAAAAGGGTCAAAGACCTCTACCCTAAATGCAAAACAATTTAAGACAACCACAAAAAGAGGAAAAAAGCTCGACAAACAGACAAACAAAATTTTTTTTTAACTTCTTGGAGTCCCATGCAAATTTAATATTCAAAGACTCCTGCAACATTATGAACATATATCACAAAATTGACAAAATCAACCAGTCTGCATATTCTCCAGACTCTGTTTGTCAATCAAGAGCTTCATCAATTGGTGATTATTTCCTTAATTCTCATAACCTTAACCAGTGCTTCAGGGGTGATAATGTCAGGAGAAACTGCATGCCAGTAACTCTTAGGGCTCAAAAGGTTTGAACAAATTCTCTTTGTTAGCCTCTAAGAAAATTTAAGGAGAACAGTCCAGGGAGAATTCATGTCTGCATACTCATGTCAGGGTGTAGAAGGTTTAAGGACAAGTACTGGGTAATCTTATTAGTATTGTCCTTATGACACCAAACCTCAAACTCGTCTTTTGCCCACAAGCATAAAAAGTATTTGTTTGTAACACCTCACTAGGCTTAAGACTACAGAACACTGCTTACTCTAAACCAACATCTGCATACTGTAGGACCCAAAACTTAAAGTACATTTACTGACAACCCTTGAGTTAAGTAATGACTGACCTTAAGTGGGTGATATGCACCAACAGTCACTGCAGAACGTAGAATTATGTCTTTGTACTGGTACATCACAGTCAGTGTCGTGAAGCCAGAACGAAGGGCGAGAAGCTTCACAGACATACAACTTCCAGCAGTCATCTCATAGTCTCCTAAAAGTAGACATTAAAAAGCACACTGATTCAAGACACATTAATGCCATCTAGCTAAATTAGGGCTTGAAGAAATCTTTAAATTCCAGATCAACATCCCACAATCATCAAGCCAATTTGAGTGAGTGAGTGAATACTTTATTAATGTGTCAAGAGATTTAGCTACCAAGCTAATCGGGGACACACAAAAAAAGAAGTTTCTTATCTACAATATTTTTAAATGATATTCATATAAATAATTATATACTGTTTACAATAAAATATAAAATTAGAGATAAACAGACAATCATACACAGCAAAATGTATCAATCACATGCATATAAAATTTAGTTTATTTCACTAGCTAACCCTTTAATTAGGGTTGGCAACAATTTCCTAAGAGGATGCTATCCTACCAAACTAACAGAGAAGTTATTTTGATCCTAGCATAATAAGTTTGTGCTAGAACTCTTCAGATAGTAATTATGAATGAGTTCTCGAAATTTGAGCTTGGAGACATGATTCCTATTCAAATAAAGAAAAAAAAACAATCTCTTAATATACATACTGTTCTCTTCAACTAGCTTGAAAACTGATGGATCAGAAAATGTGTATGTCACAGGGAGAGTGCGACAATCAGTGAATACATGGAACTCTTGGCATTCTGAGGAAAGAAATAAAGCAATAATAATATCATTTTACAATCAATTGTTTCACTATTTGGCAACAGTGGCTGATGATTCATTATACCCAGAGCAAAAGTCAAAATCAGTGCCACATCAAAGTTATAAAAAACTCACAAAAAACTCTGTTCATTACTTTTGCTTGGGCTGGCAAAGCATAAGTCTTTAACTCTGCAACAGCTCTTTCCAGGACTAAATGAGCTCTAAACTGGACAATCAGACTACACCACTGTACCAAAAATACTGTGCTGTGGTACAACACACAAAGAGCTCACAATCTTTAGTTCATCAAACAAAATTTGCAAATAAAAGTCTTGTTTTCAGGGTTTGAATAAGAACTAATTTGTTGCAGCCTTTGGAGTACATGGAGGACATATAATGGTAATGAAAATAACAATGACCTTTTTCTTTACCTGTGTAAATGCAAGTTGCTACAGCCAATGGAAGTGACAAAGAATTACCAACTTGAGCTTCAACAACAGAAGGAATAAACTCCATCTTTCTTGGTGGAAGGACATAAACCTGAGAAATTTCACATAAACTCATTAACATGTACTTCTCCATCGGCCTGACTTCTGGAACCCTCTGCCATTCCCAGAAATTAGGCAATACAATTAAGAGGATGCTTGAAACAAGGTTCCCATCACATTTTGTTTTCATCATCATCACATCATTGAAGGAAACAACAATATCCTTACATTAACTAGACCTAAACAACAATCTGCTATCTAGTTTCCCCTTAGAAGGTTGCACTGTGGTCCTCTTTTACCTTTGTTGGTCTCATCATGACACTGAATTATGACTTCACATAAACGTTATACGAAGAAGTTAGACCCTGGACACTCCTGGAAGATGAGGGAGTATTTAACACAGTTCAGGAACCCACCTCTGCTGTTCCAAAAATAGCCAGATTCTTGGTGTCTGCTGCACGAGCCTGGGTGTGTCCTACTGCATTAGTTGTGATGACAACACCTTTGGTGCTTACAGTGGCCACAGAGGTGTTGGATGATGACCAAACATACGTTCCACTTCCTCCAGATGGCTGGAGAAAAAACCAAAAGAAACAATGACAAAATCAATAATTGCTGCTTGCTGAGACAAAATCAAAGTTAGAACTTATGAAGCTCACGACAACTTTTCAGTAGAAAATGGATCAAGCAAGATGAGTTTTAGAACGCTGACAATGACTTAACCTGGTTATTGCCTACTCGAATCAAAAGTTAAAATGAAGTGTTTCAGTACATATAATACACATATAAACCACACTGAGAGCCAGGGAAAATAAACTCATAGGATAAGAAAATGTTCTAATTATTGTTTAACACAGGTTGAACTCTATGGTTTTCTTTCCTCTTTAGACATTTTTTTGTTATTGCTATGATGGTTTTTTTTTTTTTTCTTAACAGTGCCTTTCAGCTACAAATATGACATAACTCAAGTACCATTATAAAAAACTATGGAAATTTCATTACATGCATGTACCTCCAATAAATATTGAAACTGAGTGTTGCTGGCCACATTCTGTTTCACTGGTGGGTACCATGGGAAAACTATTATCTCAGGGTTAACAACTACGGGGTCAAAAATATCTGCTTCTTGTTGTCCTGAGATGGGATGGTCAAAGGTATGGACGACGTCTGTGCCAAGAATCTGCAGGTAAGGAGAATATTATGGTCAAAAAGGCTCAACCCCTGAGACACACTCCTCCATCATTAAACTATTGATGAAGTATTATCTGTAGTTGTAGGAAGTAAGTCCTAATTGAGAAGGCATCATACTGTAAAATGTATCCAAAGGTACATCTACAGTAGCAAATACAAATGTTAACTACCGTAAATTAAGAAGATACTAGAGAATTATTCATTCTCCACTGTCCTGCAGCCAAGTAACAAAGATAATGGTAATGATAGTTACAGAAATTATGAGCAGAAATTGCACATCAATCACCTCTGGAAGCAGTTGTTTGTAATAGAGTTTTGGAGGAATTAAAATAAATGAAAAGTTGCACCTTGATGCTTGTGTACGTGGCTGTCAACAAGGTCTTGCCTTTCTGTAGAGTTCGCACATGATGGAAGGAGCCATTAGTTGAAGACCACAGAACTTGGAAGTACGATGGATCAAATGATGTATCAATGTGAATATTCTGATGAAAAATAAAACGCAAAAAACCTCACTTAGCAGGACAGGCACATGTACATGTAATAATTATTATAAAGAGCATAACAGTCCCCAATTTATTAAAACTTAGTAATTTGGGATTCAAAATCTGGAGTTTCCAAATTTAAATCCTCTTCTCATTCTCTTCATCAAATGATAACATAATCCCAAGTTTAACTCCTCTGCTGCATTTTGTATAAAGGCTGATAGTTTCGAAAGAAACTGTTTGGGGCTGCATTGGAAGGGGTAACGAAATAATTTGGATATATCAACAAAGTTGAAATGGTAAATTGGCCACCGTAACAATTACAAAAGCTGACGTTTCGAGCGTTAGCCCTTCGTCAGAGCGTTTTTTTTACGAAATAATTTGGATATATCAACAAAGTTGAAATGGTAAATTGGATGCATTTTGTTTGCCCTTTAATCCCCAACAATAACTACATTTTGTTAGTAGCATCTTATTTCTCCTTACAATATCACCCGTGAATGACAAGTTCAGGTTGTGAGAATATGGGAAATGATCACCAATAAACAATGAAAGCTGTTGATTGTTAAACAAATTCTCCTTGTCAGCACCTTAGGAAGCATAATTATACTGTAGAGAACAGTATGGAGAATATCAATTCTGATGTTAGGGCATAAGGGGGTTATGGCCAACTGATTTGCCTTCTTCTGGCAACCAAACCTTAACTTCTCAAAACCATTTTATTATTTTAGGTCTCCAAATAATGACAAATTTTAAAAAAAAAAGTTTTGAGTCCTGTGGAGAGAATAAAATAAATATAAAAATTTGTTCTCTTTCAACAACAGAATCATTCTTACGTCAGTAATAAAGACTTTGCGGTTGTCCTGACTATAGATGTGAACAGTAACATCATACTCGATCTCCACTTGCAACACCCAGTCTGGGTGTGGCACAATACTGAAACCTAAGAAAATGGAGAGCAAAAATAACTTCAAGTTGATGTGTCTTTCTTAGTGGTTAGGACAATAATAAATCCAAGTTGAATCACTTTGTCACCAATTTAGAGTCAATATCAATTGTAGGGTCAAGCTGTTAATCATTTGTATTGCCAAACAAGGTCATCTGTTACAATGCAAGTCTTTGTCAAGCTTCTAGCAACTAGCACTATGGTAGCTGAATATAGGATCTTCTGTTGATACATTTGTAGCTTCACTCTTTAACTCCCACGAGTGACCAAGACAGAATTTCACTTTACAATATCCTGTCATCGCACCCATTCTTCACAATAAACTGTTTGAAAAAGACACTGCTGACGTTTCTGATATCATCATTGCCATGGATCATGGCTTAAAAAACAAATACCTAAGAAAGCTGCATCTACAACATGAACTCCAACAGCTGGTTGATGTACAGCCTGCATGTGTAGCATATCTGCATGGCAAGTTAAGGGAACTCTACCAAAGGTTAGCAATGTATAAAAATAAAACATATGATGGATTACTGAATTAGCACTAATATTAATTGCACTTCTAACAAATTGGCCTAACAAAGTGAATCTTTTGCTGTAAATATACCGAGGATCCATACTCAACTGTACATGTATGTATTCAGAAGTTTCTATTTAGT